AGAGGACTGGAAATACACGGTAGTTGTACCTCATCTCAAGGAAAGGGACCATGAGGATGCCAGCAACAATCGTCCAATATCACTTTCACGATCTGCTTATAAGATATGTGAGAGAATTGCCTTAAATCAATTTATGAATTACTTGGATGCAAATGACTTACTCACAAATCACCAGAGTGGGAACAAAAAGTATAACTCAACCAAACGTTGAATATCCATGTTACTGATTTTATACTTAAAGCTATGGTTAAAAATCAGATGACCGTGCAAATCCTTTTGGATCTAAGTAAAGCTTATGATAGTATAAACCATGACTTACTTCTTGGCAAACTCAGAAGCCTAGGAGTATCGCCATCAGCACTTAGATGGTTTTATAGTTATCTAACAGGCAGGAGACAAGCCGTATACGCATTGGATCAACTTTGTCCAGTAAGCTACCGATAAAAGATGGGGTTCCACAAGGTTCAATCCTTGGACCTATCTTGTTCAGCTTGTATATTAACGATTTACCTACTGTTGCACAGCACTGTAACATTGAATCGTACGTAGATGATTCCAAACTATTTTTGGCTTTCTCCTTAAACGAATTGGATGATGCTGTAACCAAAGTTAACCAAGATCTGAAGTTGACCTTTGAATCGTTTTGCACCAACTACCTACTTATCAATCCCACTAAGACAAAGTTAATGGTATTTGGAGTACCCCAACTTGTTTCCAAGTTACCTCAGGATATAACATTTACTCTAATGGACAAACAACTTACAAATTCATCAAATGCGAAAGACCTTGGTGTCACATTGGACCCATATCTGAACTATAGCGATCATGTAGCTAACGTTGTGTCCTCTTGCATGAGAGCTTTGGTACAAATAAACAGAGTTCGCCACCTATATTTAAGCGTGAAATTTTAATCAAAATCATAAATTGTTTGGTATTCAGTAAATTATATTACTGTTCTTCAGTTTGGGCATCAACATCTGAAACGAATATTGGAAAGCTTCAGTGTGTTCAAAATTTCGCTGCTAGGATAGTAACTGGAACGAAAAAGTTTGAACATATTACTCCCATTTTAAAAGACCTGAAGTGGCTGCCGGTTGCAATGGAACTCTATATTAGGGATGCTATCATGACATCTAAATGTGTAATTGACCTTGCGCCATCTTATCTGTGTGCATGGAAAGTTGAATAAAAGACAACAAATAAGTGGTCGTATAACCAGACAATCAAATGACTTTCAGATACCTAAATGCAGAACTGCAACAGGGTAGAAGTCTTTTGAGTATCGCTCAGCCCAACTGCCAAACAGTTGTCCTCAATTGAACATTTTAAACATTATTTTAAGAAACATTTCTTAATATATTTTTAAAAAGTACCTAGATTGTAATCTTTCCTTTTAACTATTGCATGTATAACTTATAGATTTAATTCCTTTTAGAAATCATTTTTAAATTAGTTATGAAAACATTTGTAAATTAGTTATGAAAAGCTCATGTTTTGAGATAACTAATAAATATGCATGTATGTATGTATGTATGTAGATCTGATGACTGAATCTAAATTTCCACTCGAAAATTTCCATACATAATACCCTTCAACTATTATTCAAACGAGTAAGATGCCAACAAAATCTTGATATTTATACCACAACCTCTTGCCCAGAGCCTTTGCGCATGCAGTTAAAAGGCTCTGGTAAAAGAAGCAAAAGCCCTTGTAAACACTGGTTATGTGACTCCAAAAATATTGGACACTTTTGTTACCTGGCCTTATTAGGGTCATGTTTATAAACTTTGGGGAATCAAATGGATTTTGAATGCAAAAGAGTACTGTTCGAGGTAACCCTTACAAAAATTCCACATGATTTCACATGCATGTGTGAAATTTCACGTGTGAATTTGGAACATGTGAAATTTCACATGTGAAGTTATGTGAAACACATGTGAAATTATATAGATGGCGATAAAACATATAATAGTTTTGTTTGTGGAAACACCACGTAAATAAATAAATTAATAATAAGCAGTAATAAATTTACGTGGTGTTTCCACAAACAAAACTATTATATATAGAGTATATCCTATTAAATTTTAGCATGCAGATTCGTGACTCTCTGTCTGCATAGTTAACTTTCTTCATCTAATTATTCCTCCATCATTCGCTATGCCTTTGTACGTTGCTTTTATCTTGCCTGCGTGGTTGCTTCTTGTTTTTATTTACGAGATTAATAATAGCTTCAACTAGGCACTAACTGTTTGCTCTTAAATTTTTGATTATCTAAATAGAGACACTTTGCCTTTTTATGTTTTGCTGCATGCAGGCAAATGGCTTAACATAATAATTGTGGAATAACCATCCATTGTGTAACGCTATTTCAATACTACTTGTTAAATATGATACAAAATAACATATGCTTACAAATTAACATATTGCTTACAAATTAACACATGTTAAAACGTGTGTGTGTGTGGGGAGGGGGGGGGGGGGGAAAGAAAAT